TTTTTAGTAGAGACGGGGTTTCACCATGTTGACCAGAATGGTCTTGATCTCTTGACCTCGTGATCCACCCGCCTCAGCCTCCCAAAGTACTGGGATTACAGCACCCGGCCGGGGGTGGGGATCTTACCCAAAGATTCCATTTTATCCCTAACACAAATTCAAGCTTCTGCACTCCTGTGATCTGAATGTATGTGCCCCACCCCCTGAATCTGTATGTTGAAATGCTAACCCCCAAAGTGATTAAGAGGTATTAAGAGGTGGGACCTTTGGGAGGTAACTCGGTCACGGTCATGAGGGTGGAGCTCATATGAATGGGGCTAGTGCCCTTAGAAAAAAGGCTGGAGGGAGCTCCCCAGCCTCTCCCACCACGTGAGGAACAAGTCACCATCTAGGAAGCAGAGAATCCGTTGGTGTTCTGATCTTGGACTCCCCAGACTCCAGAGCTGTGAGCAACACATTTCTGTTGTTTATAATTTACTGAGCCTAAGGTATTTTTGTTTTAGCAGCCCAAATGGAGTAGGGCCATGCCCACGGGAGAGCAGAGGGGAGAGAATGCAGAGGTCCTTAGAGGTTAGAGTGAATGATCAGCTTGCCCCAGGGGATATATCTTGACTCAATCCGGGCTCTTCATAAATTTCTGTTTGCCATGGAGGAACTTCCAGCATCCAGCATGGGTCCCTCGGGTGAGGTGCGTAGTGCCAAAGAGGTAACCCTCGGTAAGAGTGAGGGACTGAGGAGAAGGGAGGGGTGATGGCGGGATCTCTGTTCTGTTCACTAGCTCTTTGTTTTGTGGTTTGGCGTTTTTGTCCTTCCCTCTTGATCTGAAGTAACCTTGGAGTCCTGGGAGTCAGGACTAGACCAACGTTCCAATCCAAAACAACTGATTAAATATCTTCATTTCTTTATCTGCGAAGTATCCCCCATTTGCTCCCCTCAATTTATTTGAAAGTTAGGCATCCTATTTCTCTTTTCATGGACATCTTTGTAGAGTCATTTTTTATCTATATGCCCATGTGAAATTGCTGATATTAGACCATTTTTAGTTTATAAAAATGCTAAGTTCACATGGTTCAGCTTGATATCGTTTCTCTTAATGCAAGCGAGGAACACACTTTTTATGTCCCGCAGAGACACACTTTCTAATACACACTTCCTCCAGCTTTACAACTGTGGATATCTGTAACATGTGCAGGTTACATGACAGTTCACATTTGTAATGAAAGACTTTTTGAAACAAAGAACATAGTTTGCTTACTTATTTCTCAGTATTTCACGTTGTATAACACTTCTTGCTCTTGGGTTCTTTTATCTTGTAACTGGAGCACATTCCTTGGTTATTTTTCAGGTAGAATCTATATATGAGAATCTTCTAAAGATCTTATGTGACTGAAAATATCTTTGCTTCATCCCCACTCTTAAATGATCATTTGGCTAGATGTAGAATTGCATTCACATTTTTTTTTTCTCAGAACTTGAAAACTGTTCCTCCTGCCTGTTCTGACTTCCGGCTTTGCCAGTGAAGGATCTGTTGCTCTTGCAAAGTTGTATTTTCTGTTTCCAGGATAACCAAATGGTCTCTTCTCAAAGCCACATGTTCTTGTTTCATAACCACCTGTTCTTATTTTATGGATAGAACACCCTTCTTTATTTCTTTGTGAATTTTAAGTTTGCTTTGCTACAATCCTGTTCTGATGGTACAATTAACTTTGTGTCCTCAGGTGTAAGTTCGGTTTGTTATCTCCTTTTGTGGGCTTTTCTCAAGCATGTGGTGTTTCGCAGTTGCATTATCATTCCTGTGGTCAAGGCCCCACAGTTTGCTCAGGAGAGGGAAAGCTTGTTCACCACTGCCCCAACCTGCTCCAATTTTAGCGGTAGTAGGGGAAGGACAGTCTGGACTACTGGATAAGGCACCCAGGGGCCTCCATGTTCACAGTGGTGTTGTTGCCTGGGACTCTGTTCTCAACATCCCAGGCTCCCACACTCACCATTCCTATTTAGAGACAAGGACCCTGACTGTCACTGCTTGGCCTGGGGAAGAGAATGGAAGAGAAGACAGTGGGCAAAGCTGTAGAGTAATTCCCTGGGGCCTGAGCTGTGTTAGTCTCAAGGGCAGATGTTCAGACTACAGGTCTCCTTGTGCCAGAGCTGAGCGCTGGATCACAGGACCCAGGCACCCAGGTGTCCTCTGATCAATGTGTGTGTGGACGTGTGTGTGTGTGAGAGATGCCAGCTTTCTAAAGTACAGGCCTGGCACCTGAGGCTTCCTTTTATTTTCTCCTGGAGATTTCTCAAGTTTCCAAGTCACCATAAGTTCTCCTTCTTGTTTTGAGGTACAAATACATATTTTTCAAAATATATTTTTTATTATTTCTATGGATTCAGTGTGGACAGGAAGATAGTGCAGTTTGTGCCTAGGGATCCTTGTGAGATGCCTCAACACACTGCGAAGACGCGAATTAATGAGCTCAAGATACAAGGCCTGACATGCATCGTGACAGCCATTATTGAGAGCTGATCGTCTTCACTATGCTAATCCTATTTCAATATGGCTTCCAGTCTACACAGGGTATAGAGTTATCCCCATCCCTGGAGCTACTTCTTTAACAGATCCAAATCCAGCTTCATCACCTATCACTTCAAGAAGAACATTATTATTCTCCTTCCACGGTTCATTAGAAAGCAGGGCCGTGCTGAGTCTGAGCTCCTGCCTTTCATCACTCATTGGCCTCTGTACTGGCTGCCATGTTAATTTAATCTTAGCTGGTAAAAGGCTTAGGAGAGACAGGGGAGCTCCCAGCACACAGCTGTGGGGAAGGGTCTAGAATCTCAATTTTCCACGGCTTCTTGTAGGGAAGCACATTTTGTTCTGAAATGTGCTGCATACATTTGGCTCTTCGCTTGAAGGAAAATGTTCTGGGGGTTTTCAAATGCTTTACAAAGGCAGAGGAAAGGTGAAAAAGGAAGAGAGAAAGGAAAGAAGAAATGGAGGAAGAAAGGGAGGGAAGGGGCGAGACATGTTCCTCTTCCTCCTCTGTCAAATCCCTTTGTCTCTGGACACATTTGTTGTCAGCCCTGCCAGCTGTTGAAAGTATTTGAGAGCTGGCTGCAGGTTCCAGTAAGAAAATCAAATCTATGCTCCTCCTGAGAATTCCATTAGCGAGATAGTTAAACTGTGGCTTCACCTGAAAGAGGATAGACAGCAACCCACAAGGAAAACTCCCATCTCCTTAGAGAGCTCTGAGAAGCAGCTGGGTCCTGTTTCTCAGGCCTTGACAACACTTCCTACTCCTTCCGCCCACAGAAATATTCCGGAAAAAGACCTCAGTACACTAGAGACACTCCCTCTCCTCCCCTGCTGCAGCTCATGTGGCAGAATCCAGCTAGATGCGTTTGTTAGTGTTCTCTGCAGGCTGAGCATGTCCTGGGGACAGAAAGGTAAGAGAAATCCTGCCCTCAGGCACAGTAGTGTAGCTCTCCAAAGCCAAGAATATGCTCACTACTCAGGAGAAGACTGATCCATTTGGTGTGCCTGTACTCAGAAGTATAAATTTATATTGTGCAAATATAATACAAAATAGTCAATCTCAAATTTTTCTCTATTTTTTTTTTTTTGAGACAGGGTTTCACTCTTGTCTCTCAGGCTGCAGTGCAATGGGGTGATCTTGCCCCACTGCAACTTCCGTCTCCCAGATTCAATCAATTCTCCTGCCTCAACCTCCCAAGTAGCTAACATTACAGGCAGGTGCCACCATGCCTGACTAATTTTCTTGTATTTTTAGTTGAGACAGGGTTTCACCATGTTGATCAGGCTGATCTCCAGCTGCCTGATCCTCCCAGAGTGCTGGGATTACAGGCATGAGTCACCACACCCAGCAATCTCAAAAATTTAAAAACCAACAACGTGATACAATTTTATGTATACAGCAGTTCATTTGAAAAACTCAGAAATTTTCATTTGAAATACTTTTCCATGAAATGTTACATACACATGTCAAAAACCATGGAAGTGTTCATAATTATCGACCCTGGAATACCACTTCAAGGAATGTGCCCTGAGACAACAATTGAACACAAAAAGAGCAAAGATGTTCAATTATTTGTTGTTAAACTTAAAAACTAGATACTAATCGTGCCACATACACACGAGGAAAGGTTTAAGAAATTAAGAAGGCCGGGCACAGAGTAGTTCATGCCTGTAATCCCAGTACTTTGGGAAGCTGAGGCAGGTGGGTTACTTGAGCCCAAGAGTTCAATACCAGCCTGGGCAACCTCATCTCTACAATAAATAAATAAATTAGCTTGGCATGGTGGTGAGTGCCTGTAGTCCCAGCTATTCAGTAGAATAAGGTGGCTGTGATCATGCCACTGCACTTTAGCCTAGGTGACAGAGTGAGGCCTTGTCTCAAAAAAAAAAATACATAAATACAAATTATGAGAAACCAGTGTGTTGTGACAGCATGCAAATATTAAAAACGATTGCATCAATAATGTAGTTGCATGGAAAACAACTGTGATATAATGTTGGGTAAAGGAGTTAGAAAATACCACTGGTATGTGTACCATGCTTACAATTTCAGAGAAACATTTATGTCTATGGGCCTGCCAAGAAGGCATTATAGAAAAATGAATATGCTTGTATTAGAATAATAGAAATATGAGTAACAGTTTTCTTTCAATGGTGCAATGTTGTTTTTAAAATAAAAACGGAATCATAAAACAATGGGAATGTTGGATCTCTGCATCAATGCCTAAAATCCCTTTAACTCATATGTAATTCATCTAAGTACTAATATTCCAGGGTCTGAAGGCAAGATCTGCAGAAGAAAAATTAAAAAGAGAGTTGGGGGCCAGGCACAGTGGTTCACGCCTGTAATCCCAGCACTTTGGGAGGCCAAGGTGGACAGATCATGAGGTCAGGAGTTCGAGACCAGCCTCATCAACATGGTGAAACCCTGTCTCTACTGAAAATACAAAAATTAGCCAGGCATGATGGCACACACCTGTAATTCCAGCTACTCAGGAGGCTGAGGCAGAAGTATTGCTTGAAGCAAGGAGGCAGAGGTTGTAGTGAGCCAAGATTACACCACTGCAGTCCAGCCTGGGTGACAGAGCATGATTCGATCTGAAAGAGAGAGAGAGAGAGAGCGAGTAGGAAGAGAAAAAGAAAGAATTGAGGAACAAGGGGAAGGTGGGGGAGAAAATGATGCAGAAAGACTTCCAACCACTCACCTTTAGTCTATTATTTGCTTTCAACATTTTATCACATCAACTGAAGAAGAGGTTCATAAATCTGGAAAGGAGAGCTTTATTTCTTATAAAGTATAGGATGGCCATTCTGATGGCCTGGGAAGTATAGCCTCTGGCCAGAAGCTGAAAACAGGCACCTCAAGGATCAGAAGAATAAGACAGGGATTGATGCTGGATGGAGTGGCCAAATACATACATTCCATAAGCTATAGGAGCAGTCATGAATATTTATGAAAGGAGAAACACACACATGCACAATTGAGCTTCACGCCTCTCCATGGGACCCATGTTGAACAAATGGCAGCATTAACATGATCCAAGGGTGGGGTTTTCAGCCTTCTGATGTCAAAAGGTGGAGCAGAGGACAACTCTTGTTGCACATCCTCCATAGACTGGCCAGAACCACTCTGTGGTTGGTGGTCTCTTAACAGGAAGGAATGCTGGTTGGTTCTCCCGTTGAAACTACAGAAAAGAGGGGCAGCAGTCATGGTTGAAGTCTCTCGTGGAGTCTTTTGAAAGGGCTAGTTTCTGTTTAGCCCCTGGAGAGGAAAGCCTAATGGCAACTAGGGAGGAAGAGCATGTAACAAAGCTGGTCTAATCTCCCATCCCACCATAGCTGGGAATTCCACTTCCAAGGTTTCTCTGGGGTACCTTAGGCCAAGAGGGAGTCTGTTCAGTCTGTGTGGGGCTTAGAATTTTAGTTTTATTTCTTAGTCGTATGCTGCTCTTACTTCCTTAGCTTCCTGAATCTATTCGTTTCTTGAATTATACGTGTTTTTCCTAAATTCAGATTGATCTCTCTCCAATCTGGATACCAGATTCTCTCGATGACTAATACTACTAAAAAACAGGATCCTTGGGTGTCAGTAAGCAATTGACTAAAAATCAGCTTGGCAAATAGAGGAGCAACAAGATTGTTTCTTCCCGCCAAAGGTTACTGACTTTACCCATCAATTGGTTGTAATGGGGATATTTGAAAGGTTGGTGATACTCTGTGTTTTGCCTTTCTAATTTCATGACTTTTTCATAGCTGGTTGTGAGCAACCATTTGCCTGGGGGCAGACACCAGTTGAGGGAAGGAGGTGTTGACTGGGGAAAGATTAAGAATGTCACAGAAAAAAACGCAAAGTAAAAGACTTAATTAATATTCAGATTTTGACCTATATTGTAGGATTAAGTACAAAGGCAATGGTCTTGTGACTAGGCTACAGCTTTAATAAAGGATTTTCTAAATATGTCTCCTGGTCTGGGCATATCAGCCATCAAGCCTGGATGATTCTCATTACAGAGTTATCTCCCTAATGAAGAGAAGGTAACCCATTTGGCTCATGACAGCTACATGGTGCGGATAACTCTACAACCTGAGTTGTATGAGAGAAGTGGACTTTAACCGTCATGGGTTGCATTCTATCTACCCAAGATTCATAGGTTGAAGTCCTAACCTCCTATACCTCAGAATGTGAACTCCTTTGGAGACAGGGCCTTAAAGAGGTAATCAGGTAAAAATGAAGTCATGAGGGTGGTCCCTAATCCACATGACTGATGTTGTTACAAAAAGGTGAGATATGGACACAGGCAGCCATCTAGTAGCACGCCATGTGAACGTGAAGATCTACAAGCCAAGGAAAGAGGCCTGGAACAGATCTTTCCTTCAGAGCCCTTAGAAAGAACCAACCCTGCCGACACCTTCATCTTGAACTTCCAGCCTCCAGAACTGTGAGACAATACATTTCTGTTGTCCAGGATACCCAGTGAGTGGTATTTGTTCAGCCACAGGAAACTAACAGAATGACCAAAGGAAGCTAAAAGAAAAGCCCCCCTTTCTATTCTGAGGGCCTGTGGGAAAAGGGTGATATTCCTCCCATCCTCATAGGCTTTCCTGTACCAGCCTGGGATGCCATCACCTCACAGTCACCTGGGCTACACAGGATGGTCAGGTGAGCTCAGCTGAGCCTTCTTCACTTCCAGGGGAGTATTTGCAAGACCCCAGTGACTGATGGAGTCTGCAGAGAAGTGGCTGCCCAGAGGTCATAGCAGCAGGGAAGAGGTGGATCTGTAGGGCTATAATGGATGCTCGTGTCAGACCAGTGAGAGTCACAGCTAGACTTCAGAAGGGATCTAGTCCCAGCAGGCAGGGCTCTAGCCAGGTACAGAAACCAGTTCACAAGTTATGTAGCCATAGGCTAACACTGCAAATGCTAGCAGGGTGAGAAGGTCCCAGGCAGACCAGAGATCTCACCCCTCTGGCTTAAAGACCAGAACCCCTTTAAGCATCACAGCTATTCCCTACCACAAAAGATGTGCATAAGCCTCACCCCTGCTCCATATACCACCTTAGGGAGGGAAGTGGGCTGAGAGGAGAACATGCATCTGGGAGACCAAGTGGTAATGGTCAAGAGGAACTGAGCACAACCAAATGATCAGATCAGACAAAACTTTAAACCAATTCACACATCAAATTAACTGTTTCCAGGCCACCAAGTTGTATTGTGTTTAAATTCTATGGTGTATATGCAACTGTGCTGCATTATCACAGGACTGTGGGTTGGTGGAGGAAGTAGAAGTGGGACCATTCACCACCAGGGTCACTATCTCAAGAAACAACTTCCAAAACCCCTTAGGGATGGTCATCATGGCTCCTCTGGTGTTTTCTAGGCTAGACTGGATGGGTTCCAAAGATTCTCACGACTTTGTGCTGTCACTAGCTTCAGGTAATGAAGTTTCACAGCCTGGAGGAGTGTTAATTAAAGTCAATGGCAGCTGGGTGATCCTGACACCACATCCTCAATAAACAAAAGCATTACCTAGTCTGGCAGCCGCCTTAGATGCTCAGGCAAAGTGAAGAGCTGTCACATAGAAACTGCTAAGTGAGCAGAGCTGTGCAGGGCTAGTGGAGGGTGAGCTGAGGGGGAACTGAGAGCCGGCTGAGGGTACACTGGTGGGGATAAGGTGGCCCTTTTCATCTTGGCTCTGTTCCATAGGGTCAGCACATCTTCCATTTGGGAGGAGGAAATCTCTACTACAGCAGGAGGAAAGGCCATTAGCCTGGCTGAGCGTGGTGGTTCATGCCTGTAATCCCAGCACTTTGGGAGGCTGAGGTGGGTGGATCACTTGAGGCCAGGAGTTCAAGACCAGCCTGGCTAACATGGTGAAACCTTCATCTCTATTAAAAATACAAAAAATCAGCTGGGCATGGTGGTGCATGCCTGTAATCCCAGCTACTTGGGAGGCTGAGGCAGGAGAATCTCTTGAACCCAGGAGGTGGAGGCTGCAGTGAGCTTAGATCACACCACTGCACTCCAGCCTGGGAGACAGAGTGAGACTCTGGCTCAAAAAAAAAAAAAAGAAAGAAAAGAAAAAGAAAAAAGAAAGGCCATTAGCCTTAAGCCTTTTCATGTTGAGGAGGTAAGTTTTTGATTGTCAACAAACATAACAGTTATTTGGGCATGAATCAAAAGTAAACAGCAGGACTTACAGATGGCTTCCCATCTTAAGCAGCCTAAGAATCACAACCATTAATAATGACGTTTTCCTGGAAGGAGCTCCAAGGGCTTGTAAACCAAAAAGTATCTGAGGTCTCTCAAGATATCTCAATTGATTTAGGAGTTTATTTTACCAAGCTTAAAGACATGCCCATGACACAGCCTCAGGAGGTGCTGAGAGCATGTGCCCACAGCCTATGACTTGGTTTTATATATTTTAGAGAGACAAAAATCATCAGCCAATACATGTAAGATATATATTGGTTCTATTCAAAAAGGCAGGACAACTGGAAGCAGGGACTTCCAGGTCACAGGCAGATTTAAAGACTTTCTGACAGTTGAGTGAGTTATTATCTAAAGACCTGGAGCCAATGGAAAGGAATGCCTGGGTTATCATGAGGGGCTGTGGAGACCAAGGTTTCGTCATGCAGATGAAGGCTGCAGGTAGCCGGCTTCAGGGAGAACAGATTGTAAATGCTTTTTATCAGACCTGAGAGTTTATTCTACCAGTCTTCCGGTCTGTGTTCATGTCAATGATTAAGAGACAGGACGGAGCCCCACTTCCCATTATGGCCCAAAATCGTTTTTCAGGTTTACTTTGGGATGTCCTTGGCCAAGAGGAGGGCTCTATTCAGACGTTCAAGGGGTTTCAAATTTTATTTTTGGTTTACAAATGTATACCCATCATTCATACCCATTTTATATTAATAAAGGCATGACCTAACATGGGTCATGACATAATCATTACTTAAGTAGTCCTGGAGTAACTACTAGAGAGTTAAAAGTGAATCTCTCGGTAGCTGGAAGATAAAAGGAGCAGGGAAGAGAACAGGTGCTTTTCTTTCAGGGCACTGTGGAGCTTCCCAAGTGGTAGGCACTGTGTGGGGTAGGGAAAGAGGTTCAGACACAAAAACTGAGGGGAGGGGAGCAAATAGGTACACATTACAGTCATTCATTGATATATTCATTCCGCAAACATTTACTGAACTCTGACTAAGCACTGGACATCAGGTGTTGAAGGCATAGCTATTAACAAAATAGTCCTTGCCTCATGGACTTGCCTCTGTAGTAAAGGAGACAGACAATAAATTACCTGAGACTGCATAATTTATAAAGAAAAAAGAGGTTTAATGGACTCACAGTTCCACGTGGCTGGGAAGGCTTCCCAATCATGGTGGAAGGTGAAAGGCACGTCTTACATGGCGACTGACAAGAAAGAATGAGAGTCAAGCCAAAGCGGAAACCATTTATAAAACCATCAGATCTCATGAGACTTATCCACTACCACAGAACAGTATGGGGGAAACCGCCCCCATGATTCAGTTATCTCCCACTGGGTCCCACCCACAACATGCGAGAATTAAATCAAGATGAGATTTGGGTCGGGACACAGACTAGCCATATCACCTTCTATGGTGTCCTCACAGTTTTTTAAGAAAATCTCTCTCTGATTAAATAAAAATGTTAGAACTTGGAAAATCCTTAGATTTTACATGGTTATTAGTGCACACACACATCCCTCCCCAGAATCCTCCAGACGTGTGCCTAAGTCATCCTTTGCTCAAACCTCCTACCTCAAAAGGCTTAGAGGAAGATGTTGTCCCTGCTGGCAGAGGATGAAGCTGTAAGAAGCTGGGAGAGGGCTGAGGAAGAGGGACACAGACTCCCCTCCCCGCTGCAGCCCCGTGATCAGCATCACGTCTTTTAATGCACCTTCATCACCTCTTCCTCTGTCTCTTTTTTCCACTGCCTCTGTGTCAGTGCTGGAAAGGAGCATGAGTGACTCTTGAGTTTCTTTCCGTTTTCAAAACAAACCTTTAACTTAGGGGCGAAGGTAAAATAATATTTTTTTCCTAAGCCAACACTGTAAATCAGCTGGACTGTCTCATAAAAATATGACACCCTTTGGATGTTTCACGAGCTGAATTCGCATGGTACCAGATGAGTTTCTGTTTTCCTTTTTCAATCAACTCAAGTAAATATACAACATGCAGCCAAATTACACCCTCTCACAGGAAGAGAGGTTTTGAAATATTTTCTTATTAATTGTTTGCCTGAATCTGTTTAATCACAGTTTCTCAGACAGGAAAGATATCCTCAGAACAAAGGGTCTGAAAGGATTTTCAGGTGACACAGGCTGGAGCCGGAAGTTAGTTATTTAACTTTGGTTCTGTGGCTCTTTCCATTTTCAGGGTGGAGCAGATACTAATTAACATGGAAACTGATTTGTGTGCTCGCGCATTCTGCGACAAGCATTTCACGCTCTGCGTTGGAAAATGTTCTCATGTTTCTTTGGTAATGCTGAGCCACGGATAGATAACAGTGACAGTTCCCTTTTGTCACTCTGTGAATGATGGAGTAAGTAAGTGTTCCATCCAGAGAACCACAGAGCTCACATAATCCACTCAAAGAGGGACCCTGATCCAGCAACTCATGCAACCTGACTTTCCCTGGACACTTCCAGTGACAGAAGACTCACTACTGTCAGCCAGCTATTTGCTATGGCTCTGCTGGGTCCGGGTTAAAGGGAGGCACTCACACGAGTGTTTCCCCTTTTGGAGCTCCCAGTGAAAGGCCACAACCTTGGGGCAACTGGAAAGATGCTCATCCAATAATCTATTCTCCTCTAAGGTCAGAATTCTCTTGTAAAGGTGCAGTGGCCTGTGCCTGTAGTCCCAGCTAATTAGGAGGCTGAGGTGAGAAGACCACTTGAGCCCAGGAGTTCAAGTCCAGTCTAAGCAATGCAGCAAGACTCCATCTCTAAAAAAAAGAAATAATTCTCCCACAGAGATTGCTCCCTTGCAGTTAAGAGATTTGTCACCATTGTTTCATTATTATTTATTAAGTGGCCATTTTGTGTCAGATATTGTCTCAAACCCCGGGGCTGCAACTTAAATAATACTTACTCTTTGTCTACCAGGAACTTTCAATCTAGTTTATTAAATTTTAATGACTTTGACTTAGATAAAATAGTGCTATTTATAGCATTTTTAATTATACATTATTTAATTCAATAAAAATTTATTGACTAGAATTTACAGTCTAGTAGGAGAGAAACCTAAATAAATTATTATAACAAGATGGTGCAAGTGTCATCATAAAACATAGCTCATTAACTTGATCCTTCTTAAGGCAACTGACCAGGGAAACCTCTCAAAAGGTGTTAAGAGGCAGAAAACTTAAGGGCACTGAACACTTACAGGGCTGGGGGCGGGATTTAGGGAGAAGGATGCTGCCAGAAAGATCTATTACTTTCTGATGTTATTCAAGGCTAGCCCTGCCGTGCACCAGCTGATTGACTACTGGAGTTCTTGGACACCACCTACAACCATATTTAACCACTCATGTTGCATGGCTAATGAGAGGTCTTGTGGTACTGGCTTAATGAGTTGAAAGGATTCAACTGTAATTAGCACATTTATTATTCTAATATGAATCAATGCTTTTAAAGCCCTCAAAAAGAACTTAATCTCTACAACAAAGTAAGCCCTTCCTACAAGCTCCTCCACACTACTATCGTACCCAGTGTTTTCTTCTTGGCAGAAATCGCAAACATCATCCTTAAAATAGTTCCAATCATTGTGGGTCACAAACTGCCAGGCTAAAAGTAGTTAAGTTTTATGGTAAATTGTTTTCTGAGCTTTTCTGAAAATCCCAAGGAAAGGCCAGGAAGAGCAGATCTCCAGCTAGGATGACATTCTGATTGATGATGATGACGGCAGTGCGTTTTTGGTAAAACCAACAATGGTGCCTTTCAAGTCCTGCCTAACATGGCACAGAGGAGGCCGGCAGCCAGGTCTGCACTTTCACTTGTTGCCTTCACATCTTCATCCATCAGGCTGAACAGAGAATCGATAACCCGTAGCCTAGCAGGGTTTTTTAAGGTTATCACTCCCGATCCTACATTTGATGGATGTTTAATGTTGATCAAATTGACTGAGACTTGAAAAGTTGCCTTCTGCTGCAGGTTTGATGAGTTACAATTTTCTGCCAGATAAAGAAGTTTCAACAAAAGAAGAAAAATTGCTTTTCTGAGATCTGCTCTGGCTCTATAGAAACAGAAACGCAGCTAAGAGGCTTAAAGTGGAAACAGCAGACAGTTTAGGTCTCACTGAGGACCCTGCCTATTTTGACAGGAAAGTCCTCTTGTTCTATGTACATGTTTTGAAAAACCACTGTTTTCTTTTTATAGGAAAGGATTTCTAAAAATCATTCTTTGGAAACTCCAAAGTAAAGCAAAATCTATTAGACACCTAGGATACAGTCCTGAAATTAATGCTAAGTGAGAAGCGACATATCAAAGATGTAAGCATCAAGGTTCTAATCCATTCTACAACAAATTCCCATTTATCCAAAATGTCTCCAAATTCTAGAATTTTTTAAGAAATTCGAATTTAAAAAATACCAGAGAACGCTGGTGGTCTTTTCTCCTTTCCATGTTTGTAACTACTTTCTCTGACAGTGAGAAATAGCTATAATAGTTTTAGAATTGCTAAACCAATTCACCAATTTCACCAAACCACTGAAAAAATCAAACCTATTACCTAGAGTTTGATGGTGTTGAAATTATTTTTCTTCTTGAGGTTAAATTTGCATACAGTGCAATGCAGATATCTTAGGGGTGCAATTGAGGTTTGATACATCTATACCTCATAGAATTATTGCTGCAACCAAGATACATGGGACATTTCTATTATCCTACAAATTGCTCTCTGTCCTCTTCCAGTCAGTCCTCGCTCCCACAGATAACCATTCTGAAGTCTATCACTGTAGAATACTTCAGCCTATTCTACTTTTTTTTTCTGAGAGACAGGGTCTAGCTCTGTTACCAGGTTGCAGT